AATCTGCTCGATTAATCACATCAACAGAGGCAAAGATATAAATGCTTCAGTCGAGAGAGGGAAGCGTGATGGATGAGCGAGCTGAGAGGTCCTCGTGCTCCTCTCCTCCCTCTCTTCTCTCCCCTCCCTCCATCGCTCTGGCTCCTTTCTGCAGATGATTTTTTTTTCCTCAACTTCTCTCTTATCCTGGCTTCTTGTCTTCCCTGTTTTTTTCATCCTCTGACTCTCACCTCTCTTTCATCCGTTTCTAATATCATCCGTTTTTCTCTTTTCTTTCTCCTCCATCACTCGAGGTACTTAAGCTGGAGGGCAACAGGCATAGAAACGGATTGAAATCACCCACGATGCAGTGCTCTTACTGTAGAGAACACAACGAAAATGTACCAGTTTGAATGTGTCTTGACGATGTGCAGTTTGTCGCAGGCACAGGAGGAGAAACCAGCACAGATACAGAGATCATGCAGACATCAAACTCTCTGGATCTTCATCATGTACATTTCTAAAAATGCTTAGAGCTGCTTAATTAATATTTATCATCTTTATAAATCAAGTAGATCTCATTCATTGCTGACCGTGGCTCGTTTTAACGACTGTTCTCTGCAAACTGGACATAAATGGACAAGTTGTAAAATTCTCAACAAACCACAATGACTCTCAGTAGAGTTCATTTCTCCATCAAGAGCCAACAGCTCCTTAAATTCTGCACCAAATCTGTCATGTTTGTTTGGACATAGTTCTGAAACTAGATAGATTAAGGTAAGACAATCTTTTATTCATTCCACAGTGGGGACATTTGCTGGGGAAAAAAGTCTGGGTTCAGTCAGTGTCAACGTGTTGTGTTGACTCAACACTTTGAAATCCACTGACTCCACATTAATCAAGTTGGCGTTTAAAAATCAAACCCTCCTTGGTGGAGGTCATTAAAGCCAACTGTTAAATATACATACATCAATATAAAACATAACATTTTCAGCAGTGTAGTCTCCTGCAACTACAGCAGCTACACCGGTAGAGCTGCTGAGTCCAATGAGGATTAGAGTTTGTGTCAGTGACATGTCTCCTGTTCTGCGTCTCCATGTTGGAAGATTCTGCAGAACGTTTGTTCAGAGTTTGCTGCTGTGAGACTTGAGCAGTAAAGTGATGTCACTGTTATGGTGCCGTGTCACCGTCGTCATGTGTGATGTTGCGTCTCATCAGCTAAAGCTTCCGTTCCATTCACATCCGTGATGTGATTTTTTAAAAAGCTGTGCGAGTTAATCGCTGTAGAAATTGAGATCCATGTGGTTTTCCTCGTGCCGAAGGAGGGAGGAGGAGGAGAAAGAGGAGGAGGAGGTAAAAAATGAAGGGGAGAAAGGAATGACAGGGAGGGAAAGATGGCAGGTGAGCTCTCAACTTAAAAAAAGCAAGACAATAAAGTACCTCTCTAGTCCAACCCGAAGGGCAAAGTTTCCTCCATCCATCCCTCCATCCATCCATCCATCCCTCCCTCCCTCCCTCCATCCATCCACCCCTCCCTCCCTCCATCCATCCCTCCATTCTTCCAAAGGTTTCAGAACCTCACTCCTTGCTGTGCTAATGGATGATTTTTCTAATCAGGTATGAATGTGACAAATGTCTCAGGGTGTTGGTTTGTCAAGGGGTCTTCCTCCCTGAGATCCGTCTACAGGCTGCAAACCTTTCCTCCTCCTCCCTCATCATCTCTTCCTCCTCCTCCTCCCTCGTCCTCCTCATTGCGGCTCCTCCTCACGTCCCTCCACTCTCCACATTAATCACATGGCAGAGAGAATAAAGCAGAGCATCTGTAATAGTTAAGCAGCGTCGCTCAAGGACAGGCAGAGGTCGTCAGCTAGCATCGCGGCTAATGTGTACATACCCGCTTTCTGTGTGTGTGTGTGTGTGTGTGTGTGTGTGTGTGTGTGTGTGTACATGTATTAACAGTAATAAATGGGTTGGTGTGGCTGCAAGGACAGAACGGGGACATGTGGTGCTAAAAATGGACCACTACCTGGTGGTCTAACACATGCACGCATGCACACACACACACACACACACACACACACACACACACACTTATAGTTTGCTTTCTCAGTGATTCTCTCACATGTGTGAACACACGTCCCCCCCCCACATAAACTAACACACTGCAGTAGGAACAATGCCAGAAGTGTCAAGACGATGGACCAACTTATAACCCTCTCATATACGAGCTGCTGTGTCCCACAATGCACTGCAGCGAGTCTATGAACCACCGTTGTAAAGTTGTCTGGAAAATCTCACCAAGCTCTGCTTCCAAACATCTGGAGGTCATTATTCAGTCGTGACCACAGCGGACCATCGTTCACATGGCAACAACACTTCAACATCAAAATCATCGAATTAATCCTTAAAAAATTTATTTTAATAATCAAGTTGTTGTTAATGAAGAAACCTTTCAAAAGTAAAGTTCATTTAAGAGGCTTGATATGTTGATGGAACCTTAAGTTAAAGAATCATTCTGAATCAACATCTGGACTCAATTTCATAACAATCTACATCCAATGCTTTTCACTCTGGATCAAAGTTTTCCTGCCATGATTAGATCCATGCTGCTACTGAACCAACTCAATGTTTTACCAGTGTCAGAAGATGACAAATGTGGAGAACTGCACTACCATCGTGAAATGAGACGGTCTTCCTATTGCGTCACCAGCTTATCCTGCTACAGCTGTTGCCAAGCAACAAGGCTTTGCGTTTGTATGTGTTGGTAATCTCTAGATACCTCACGATTCGGTTCAGATAATTTTTTATAGTTTAAACAATTAGTTGGTATAGGTTTATATTATTTCTCTGGCAGAGAGTGAATGAAACTGACTGGTATAAATACACAGATGAACTAATGAGGGAATGGGGAGCAGGTGAGTGTGTGTGTGTGGGAATGAGGTTATTCCTTGTCCTATTCCGTGTTTTTATTTTATTTTTTTCTTCATACCTACAGCATCTTATTCTATTGTATTTTTATTGTATCCAAATACCGAATTGCTATGACGACCTAATTTCCCTTTGGGGATGAATAAAGTGATCTATCTATCATTAGCCATTTGTGAGGGTGACTGGATCTGAAATGACAGAGAGAGATGATAAGAAATAAGGCATTGTTAAATAGTTGTGACACAGTCTAAGGAGTTCTTTTGGGTTCTGAGGACGCATCCTATCTTGAGTCCACAGTTTTTCTCAGCAAGAGACAAATCCTGTGTGACGTCGTCTCCTTCTTGGAAATATCATCAATGGTTTTATACCAGGAGTCCATCAGCACCTATTCTTCTGTCACAATGGAATACGTCATGTTTAAAAACTTTATCTATAACAGAAGATACACACAGACATTACAGTACTCTGTGCAGTTACAGTAAAGTTTTCTGTCCAAAACAAAATGTTTGTAGTTCAAACAGAGGAAACATTTAACCATCTCACTGACAATCACAGCAAAACAGATTCATTTGAAAATGAAAATAAGACAAACAGAACTGACATGTTGAAATCATATAAAAATATGAGGTACACAGACAGAGGTACACACATGCTCTTATCGATTGTCTTATACATTAACATACATGCATTGACACACAACTCCTGTTGCCGTTGTCCCATCTGAGGCATTTTTATCCACTTTCCCGTCATTCTACTGTTGGTAATTGGTGATTATTGGTTACCGATTGATTTACTTTGCCTCTCTGCTGCTGCTGGAATCGGTCGCTGGTCTAACTGCAGAGTGTTGAGCCTCCTTGTTTTATTGGCTGGTTGATTTGTGTTTGCTGCAGAGGTTGTGCATGGTGATTAAGTTCTCCTGACGCCAACTGTTCCTCCTGCTTCAGCCTGCATTCACAACAAAATGCTTCCTTTTTCTTACCCAGAATGCACTGGAAGAGATGTGCTGCTGACAGGCTGCCACATGTTCTCCCACAGGAAACACAAGTCACACTCGTCTATTAACAAGAATTTGAGTCCAGACAAACATGGCAGATAATCATTCGAGGGATTTTTCTCTGCTAATTTTTATTTTCATGGCTGTTGTTTTAAATCTGAAGGGAACAGAAGCACCTGATATTTAATTTCCACTAACTCACACACACAGACACACACAGACACACACTCTCCTCAGTGTTTGCTTTGGAGTCTCTGAATCAGATAAGGAAGTCATTGTGTCTCCTGTAATGAAAAGCCAGGGTGACGGGGCAGATAGGATTTTCAATATCTCACCGTGCTCTGGTGAAAACAATGTAACCTTGAGGTGCAGCTCGTGTCAATCAATTCAATCCATTGGACCAACCCCTCACTGCCCTTGACGGGTCAGATAAATTTGCTCGTTTTTGTGTTCAGCTCATATCGATGACTTTTGCAGACGGGAGATACGGCTCGGCCTCGGTGTAGTGTGATCGATGATAAACTCATAATGATGATGATTATGCTCCTGTGTGGAGTTTGCATGTTCTCATGTCTGCAATGGTGCAAATAACGACTCTGAAGAATCAGTGACTCTAAACTGGTGATTTCCATCTGTCCACAACTTTTACTCCCCTTCTGTAGATCCAGTGACATAAAGTCCATAAGCTGCCGCTCATTCAATCAGTCAATCAAACACAACGGACCATTGGAAAACTGTATTTTTTCTGTCACACTTTAATATGGCACCATCAGCTGGTGATGTTCATGTCTAATAATTCAAACTTATCAAAGATGAGAAAGGAAACCAAACCATGAACTTAAAATAAAGATGGACAACGTGTCTCCGTGATACCGAGACAGAAAAACAGATTCAGCCTAAAAGTTTTTAAGTTACGTCACGCTATGAGTTACCTCATTTTTCATTTCAGTTTATGTCACTGTCTGTCTGTGATGTTTGTTTATTTCATGGCTACACACACGCACACACACACACACACACACACACATACACACACACTCCTCCAACAGTAACGTCTTTCTCTGGTTCCTAACAGCCTGAGTCTTGGCCTGTGTTGCAGGAGGATGAGACGGGCGAGGGGCGCTTCAGCTTCCCCGGTTACGGCATGGGCCCCGCCTGCCTGCAGGCCAAGGACGGCATGGCCATCAAGGGCAACAACAACAACGCCCCGGCCTCGGCCGCGCCCGAGAAGAGCATTGAGGAGATGAAGAAGCTGTTCATCAGCCGGGCCAAACGCATCGACACGGTTTCCCGTGTGGCCTTCCCGCTCGTCTTCCTCATTTTTAACATTTTCTACTGGATCATTTACAAGATCATCCGCAGCGAGGACATCCACAAGCAGTAGTCAAGAGGCAGAGGAGGAGGAGGAGGAGGAGGAGAAGGGGGAAAATGGCGAAAAGGGGAAGAAACAAAAGGAGAGGATACAGAGAGAGAGACGACTTGAATAGGAGACATCACGGCCCCTTTTTTCACACCAGCCATGCCAACCTTTCCTCATCCTCTTCCTTCCTTCTCTTCCTCGTTCGATCAAGGATACGATGCTTTTTGTGGCGATCACCCCATTCAGCCCCTCCTGACCCCGACGACACATTAGTTGAGATGCTGTTCTTTTCCCCCTTTATTCTCTTTCTCCTGCCCTGAGTCCCACCCCTGCTCCCGTCTCTTTACACCTCCTGAATAATCCGGACCAGTGCAATAGCAATGCAGTAAAATGCATGATATATGAATGTGGCAATATATTAATGAAAAGATGAAAAACAGACTTTTGCGGGCACACCCAGCGAACTGTGGGCGAGTGGACGGACTGGAACAAAAGGAGACGATGAGAGTGTCTTGTAGAGGGTCTTGTGTTTGATTATAGTTTGATTTTACGTGTGAAGACAGATATATATATAATTCTATATGAAAACGGGATGTGGGGGCGGGGTGGGGGACGTGTGAGAGGCAAACAGCAGTGTAATATACTCATATATTTATCATAAATGGAATAAAAGAAAGGAACCATAGGAACGTGGGCATCTGGAAATGAGGGATTTTTCACCCCCCCAAAAAAGGAACAAAGGCAGATCGGTGCTTCCATTAATTAAAGTGATGCAAGGATGACACATTCTATATCTAGATTTGCTTCAAATGTGTATTGCAAGCGCTCGTCAATGCTTTTTCTCCTCCAGCCGCCGCCGCCACAGAACCTTGACCTGCAGAGACACTCTGGGTTTGCTACTGCCGCTGTCAATCACACGACTGGACAGAAAATAACATGAGATTTAAAAAAGAAAAAGAAAAACACTGGAAGTGGTGAATAATCTGAGACAGAATATCGTGTTTGTCTGTGGCGTTCCTCTTCCCGTATGTAATTTATTTCCTGATGCATTTGTTGTTCTTTTGGCTTGTTTCTTAATTCTTGTGCCAATTAAACATGTCACGTGTGGCTGTGCAGCTCCAAAACGTTTCGCGGGAGGAAGCGGCGCCGCTGGGACGTCAGTTGCTGCATCGATTGACGTCACCTCACATGCTTCTTCTTGTTTTTTTAATTCCGAGAGACATATCACTTTTTGTTTTTCATCACCTGGAGAGATGGAACATATCAATCCTGGACGGAGAACAACGCAGATCCTCGTTTTCTTTCCTTGTCGTGTTCATCGGGACTGAAACATTAGACATGTTTACATCCTATTAGTGCTTCCTTGCTTTGGCCCCGCCTTAACATGACACCCCGCCCCCTCCTCACATGCCCAGCCGAGGGGATATATGTAGTTAAACTGTACAGATTATTACACCTGTTATACCTTAATTAAATGTATTTCCACCTCATTCACATGCACCAACTGTAGCTGCAGACGTCGTGACTTGTGAAAAGCTAAGTTATCGTCCATTCCATGTGAAACGAGTTTAATTCTGTCACAGCCGTGTTGGGCGGGATTTGATCATTCAGCAGGTCGGTTGGTTCGATGATTTGTGCGATTATTATCTATTTATTATCTTACTTTGCAGCAGGCTTCTCTATGCAATGCAGTTTATTTCCTTCCGTTTAGCACGACCATCTCAACAGCACCACCTATCTGTGGCTCATCGTACTGCTAAACAAAGTCTCTCATGCTTATTGACAAATATGGAACAAACAGAGAAGATAAAATTAGGTTTTTATTTTACTTTCATTTTTCCCATTCGAAAAGAAATTAGCAAGAGCTAAACCTCTGAACCCGGTAAAACTAGGAAAGAAAACATCTTTTTGTGTATATGAATGGTTGTTTCAAGATTTTACGTCTTTTGTTGAATTTACTCAAAAAAAAACAAAAATACAAAGTGCTTTTATACTTTTACAGAAAGGTTTTAAACGTGAGAGTTGCAATAGTGAAATTTGCAAATTTGTAGCAAAGCGAAATTGTGTGTTCTCATTGCTTTGTTTGTCTTTTGAATTCCCGCCCTTAATTGGCTTATTTATTATGTTCAGTGTGAGTGTTTCAGAGACGTATCGTATTTTCCACCTTTTACTGCAGACACAACGTTTTTGGGAAATACACCGTTTTGCTTTCTGTGTACGAGTCATGTGAGAAGAAAGATAACATCATGTGCATTCAATGGGAACTATGATTAGCCTAGCTTAGCATGACTGGTTTTACATTTTGGTTCATGTAGTAATTACACAATCCAGGAGGACCATGCTACCTGTTCCCCCTGCTTCTAGTTTCTATGCTAAGCTAGGCTAGCAATTTACATTTCCATGCTTAACATATCATCTAACTCTGACAGAAAGTGAATTATGGTATTTTCCAAAATGTTTCACTCTAAAACAGCTGTAAAACTTCAGCTATATAATGTTGCATTGTGGGGAGTCTCTCCTGGACGTATTTAACTTTGCAATAATGGTTCATTTGGTATTTTAATTAACCCCTGAGTCTAGATCAGCTGTTGGTTGCAATGAAAAATATTGTTTCATTGATAATTTCTACTTGTGAAAATGTTTGAGCCTCAGTCCAACTTGGTTTTAAAGCAAAACCAAAGATTTTTTTGTTTGTTTTTCGTGTTTGACAAAGTTGTGAGTCCTGTTTGCTGCTGTCGGGGGGCAAAAGATTTTAAAGTACGTAATGTTATATTCACTTTGTGAGTTCAAGAACTGACTGGGTTAGATCACCATCAGATATACAGCTATTATTATAATGTACACAAAATATTTTCATATGTAACATTTCCCNAATATAAAATAGAAGAACACATTTTCATTGCAAGTCAAATGTTTCTTCGTAAGTGGACAATGACGCTGTGGAATCTGACAAATCTACATTTTCATTCCACAAGAGAACTCCACCATATTTAATAGAAACCTGAACACGGGTCGTTTTAAACTTTAAACGGTCACAGAATTTTAAACGACTCCACAAAGTGAAACATCATCTTGACCCGCTTTCATTAAAGGTTTGATTAAACAGCTTCTATTTTCTGACGCACTTCCATGTGAAACAGGATGTTGGGATCAAGATGCTCTTGAAAAGAGGGTTCGGAGTTCGGCAGAACAAAAGTGCAGAAATGTTCTGTGACAGTAGCTGCTGAAGATGATTAATTATATTTCATCACACAGTTACAGAGGAGTTGAAGGTAGAAAAGAATAGTTTACACCACAGATCATCTCTGAGCGATAATATGCGGTTTTAATTTCAAGTTCACCTTTGTGTAACCACATTCCATATTTATTTATTAATCTTGTGGGGAAGTTTTGTTTGATTCCATTTCATTTTCATGAATTTGTTTATCTGAGTGTGTCAGACTGATCCGAAGGGCTATGTCACGCGCATTCTTCTGTTCACATCCCAACGTCTTTTAACTTTAAAGTGGAAGTGCCATAAAAATGCTATTCGCCCCAGAAACTATGCATTTCATTCAGTAAGAAAACAGCGATAAAACCTTTCAGGCGAGATCACCGAGGATGAACCAAGGACTCTCGCACAGCTGCTATTTCGGACATTAACTTTAACTTTGTGCTCTCAGCTCAGCAGACTCATGACGACGAGCATTAGCTTTAGCAGCAACTACAAAGCTCCAATAAAAACACTTTAGTTTTCCCAAAGAGCAGCTCGGAGCTAATGCTAAAATTAGCTTGTTGGGAAAGTTGACTTTTACCTGCGTCAAAGCATTTTGGTGAAATATCAGAAATGGTATTTAGTCGAAAAGCTAGCTTTGCAAATACGCTCTGTAGCTCCTCCCTTTGTGATCTTCTTATTTAATCACCACAGATAAAGTTCCCACTAAAAAATGTTTCCCCTAAAAGCAACTCACAGGTATTAAACCTCGCAACTCAGAATTTTTGACCCCGAGTCGAATTTGACTCTGAAAGTCTGATGAACATCATCACACCCAACTTTGAAATCTAAGATGCAGCTCTGTATATCAACAGTAGTGAAAACTGTAGTTTTTACTCTTTATTAGCACTTCTATCATTAAATGTGTCCAGTCACGATCTTTGGACGTGTTACTACAATGTTATTAATCGTAAAATACTGCTTAATGCGTTATTATGAACAGTTGTAGATAACAAAGACTGGCTGGCTAACGTAAACATTGTTCCCATGCAAGGTTCAGGATAAAGTAAAGGATAAAGAAATGTATCTTCTATTTAATTTTCCTTGTGACGAACAAACACCACAAGCTAAACTGTATTTCCCTCTGTGCCATAAACACGAAAGATTCTGTCCATCAGCCTCTTTGCCAACAGCCGCCGTCCACGGTCTCGGTTCATGCATTTCTTTTTTGTGCCATATGTGGGTTGAATATGCAACTAAAAGACGAGGACCTACGAACATATCATGCGTTCACCCCGCCACCGTTTTACATGAAGTATTTTTCACGTATTCATACGCTTTCCTCAGGTGTGCGTGTTGTGTGTGTCATAGTCATGTTAGAGCTTCGTCATAGGCCTCACATCATTCTATTAATCAGTGTTATACTGTACGGGGTCGGGGGAGGGAGGGGTCCATGCTGGGTTTATTGCGTTACGCTGCGATGTGATGCAAACGGACTGAACAACGAGCGACGTGTTTTTGGACGTTTATAAATCCTTAGGTTCTGAACTGGATTTTAAAGTAGCATGGTTTGATTTGTTGATGATTAATGATTCTATGGGTTTATGGGGTTTTGTTTGTTTCTCTTGTATCTTATTGTATGTATCGTACAATCCGATGCGCTGAGAGAGAAGATACAGCGACTCGTGAACTGCTGTGAACTAAAAGA